CCTGTTCTGCGCAGGCACTCGCAGTGGGCATCATTACTCAGCTCATAGACTTGATACAAATTTTTAAAATGAGATGTTGATCCTTTTATTAAGTCCCCTTTTCTCCCTCTACTAAACAGTGTTTTTTATTAACCATACTAACTTCCAGGTGCTACCACATGCAGCTGAATATCAGCATTAAATAAAAAACAATCTCTCCCCTCCCTCCCCACACCCCCTCCTTCCAAACTAGTGATGCAGTAGACAAGCCTTTTTCACTCAATGGTAATATCTGGATCACAGAGAAGTGTTTTAGTTCTTACTTTTAACAGTGAGGTACATGGACTTGCTGACGTCTGCTCCCACATCATTGCTGACCTTGCAGAGGTAGTATCCACTGTCTTCTTCCAGCACATGTTTAATCAGCAAGGAGCCATTTGTGAGAAGCTGGATACGACCGTTCAATGCAATTGGCTGGAACTGAGGAACTCCGGCACCTAAAGTAGGATCCCCACAGAAATAGGTTAGTTAGGAAGGAAAGCACCTCAGTTTATTTAAAGTAAGGCAGAAATTATAGCGTCTTGTTCTTAGAGGCTCAACTCAATTAAAATATGAATGGCTTCTGACACCATAAGAACAAACAGAATGGTTCTTTTCCAAAACTGAATTCATTAAATGGAAAGAAGAAAGACTTGGAATTTAACAGTAGCAATAAATTGCCCATATTGGTAAAAGGGGCAAAACGAGCATGAAATAGAAGTGGAAGGACCAGAAAGGGGGACAGAGAAAATGAAGATTTTCAGACCAGTCATGAGTAAAAAGGCACATTTGCTGTACATTTAGAGGCTGATAAATTATTGACAATTACAGCTGAACAGTCATACAAGTATGCATCCCTAATGCATGCACCAAATGAATTTCTTATGACTAAGAGGGATGTCTGTTGTAGTAAACATGGCATACTCAAGGGACCTCTAGGACCTTGTTTATGAGACCCTGGGTAACGTGGAAAACCACATCAGTGACTATGTTGCTTCTTTCCTCCTACAGCTGACTGATTGATGACATATAAAATCTCTGTTCTGCCATGTTTGAAGCCAGTATTTATTCGGATTGTTAAAAAAAAAATAAAAAGAAACAAAAGGCTCAGAGCACTAGTCAGGCGTGAGGTGCCATGTTTGGTGGTAATTTAAAAATGGAAGGTCCATAAAAAGACAAGAAGCCAAAGATTTCGTTATCAACTTTGTCTTTAAGAAAGAACCTACTTTTCCTTGGAAATAAGATACTGGGTGATTTAGGGAATGGGGAACAGGATATTGCTATACCACCAGCATACCGTACTGTTCAGAGGCCCACCCCCAGTTCAAGTTTCTGCAGCGTTGGGGACTCTCTAAGTGTATATTAAGATATAGTCCTTGTAACAACTGGTTTTGCAAACTACTTTGGCAGCAGGAGACAGGATTTTTCAGGGAAATCATAAGGTAGTCTTCATCAATGGAATTCTCTTATACCACTTTCTGTACACGGAGTTAATATCTGTCTGCATTAATTACTATACGCAGTTGGCTGAGTCAGCCTAGGAGGAAATACAATGAATAAATACTATGGGGAACGATTTAGTATAAAATAGCAAGCTCTAACAACCTATGAATACAACATCTAGAATATTAAAAAGGACAAGACATGCATACTAAAAATCCTTCTAGTCCTAGAAGAGTTTGCTTTGGGGACTTACAGTTAACAATGACGGTCTGGTGGCTGATATTGTGAACTTAGAAATATTAAAGGGATAATGTTTTCACAAAAATCAGTTCCCACTGTTGATTTTTCAACTATTTTAGTCAAATGCACATCCCATTTCTCCCTTTGTCTATTTTTTTCTTTAGTGTTTTTCCTATCATTTTGTTGGAAGGCACATTTATGCTTCACTACCTGCCTACAATCAATTGCTCAAGTAGGTAGATGCAAACACTCATGTCATATCTCTTCACATGAAAAATTCTGGGGACACGGGCTGATACTCCTGAGGGTAGCTACAACTGGGCAAAGTTTTGTGTAACAGTTTGCAAAGGCTTCTTTCTCTTCGCATGCCCTGTTACTGCTATTAGAGCCAAAGTCCTTCCCGAGCAGTGACAGCAGGCTATCCCATACAACTGCATGGATGAATCTGCAAGAGGACTATATGCTCACGAATCACAGAATAACAGACTGGTTAAGGTTGGAAAGGAGCTCTGGAGGTCATGTGTCCAACCCTTTTAATCAAGCAGGGCCACCTACAGCCGGTTGCTTAGGACCATGTCTAGATGGCTTTTGAATATCTCAAATGATCTCCAAGGATGAGACTCCACAGCCTCTCTGGGCAACCTATGCCAGCCTCACAGTAAAAAAGTGTTTCCTTATGCTCAGACAGAACCTGCTGTGTTTCAGTGTGTACCGATTGCCTCTTTGAGTCTGAAGGACTTAAATCAACAGATTCTTGCTGATTATGGGATGCCTATATTGATCACTGCCATTATTCTTTAGAGAGAGCAAGTCCATTTCTGTCACCTGGCTATCCCGATGTACAAAAAAAATGAACCCTCTTTTTCCATTATTCACTTACACAAAAAAAAGTGAGACTAACTTACCTGCAGGTGTACATATGCCCTTTCTACTCTGTTGTGGTATCTACAGATGAGCTATGATCTTATTGCTTTATTCTTGCTGGCTTCACCTCAGTAATTATTTCAGAATTTGGCACAAACCTTGCTCACAAACCAATTATGTAACATATCTCTTTAAAGTAAGAGGTAGCATATATCCTGTACAGCACCCTAGTTAGACTAGGCACGGAAATTGCAGTCATCCATTAGCAAAATACAAGCCTTTGTAAAAACACTGACCTCTTCACCTAGAGTTATTTTGGCCAAAAAATGAAACTGCAGTTTGATGGCTTTGCCTACATCACATATCTACTAAAACCTTCTTTGACTTAAAAACTCCACAGCTGTTAATGGAAAACCTTAAAAACAGTCACCTGGTGGTAGACTGTCACTAAAATTAAACCACTATCCCCTTCTTTATTAAGACAGGCTGCTTATCTCTTTGCAGTTAATTACAACTCAGCTAGCTTGGCTTTACCTTCTCCTTCAGCATGCAAACACAACAAAATAGAATTACTTCTTTGTGACCTCTATATGTATAATTAAAAACCCATATACCATTGAGTTTAATGGCAGACTTTGGAGCTCTGCACCCTTCTTACCACAAACTGGAATTTATCAATAAAAGGAAAATAGTCTTTAACATGAACATTTCTCTTCCCCCACATTTTTTCTTCAAAAGTAATTTGGACTTAGATCCTAAAGAAACAAAAAAATGACATGGAGTATTACATAAGGATTTCTTCTCAACAGCATCTAGCTTTGCTTTTTAAAGAGATAAGTCACGTAGATTGAATATGGAGAGTTTTGTTTTCTTGCTAAAACCAACCAGAAGACAACTGGCCAGAAGACACAATCTAGCAGGCAGTGCATTTTAATTAAAAAGCAGTCAATTTCCTATGGTTACTGAGGGTCAAGTGGGGCCAGTTTTAATGCTCTGTTACATGAGAAGAAAATGTTAAAGCATTATGTAAAGCGCATACTGAATTACTGCTTATGCTAATGCTGCCTGACCTTTCTTTTTTGCTGAAAATATATGATTGGCCATGTTATCATGGATTTTGAAGGGGGAAAAAAATCAGCCAAATGCTGCCAGTGAACCTTTTACTGAGGTTGTTTCAATTAAAGTGGTATCTCTTTTCTCTCAGCTGTCCATTTCATCACATGCCGACTGAGGCCATAGCTAACACAAACACAAATTTACAGCTCCAGGACGTCTCTAAGAAGGCAGACCAGAAGTCCATCTAGCTTAGGCTTGTGTCTATGACAATGGCCAGCACTATATGCTTAGGGAAATGATAGAAGAACAGTATAAACATGACTGATACTTCCCTTGTGCCCTGCTAGCCTCTGGCAATATGAAGATTAAACTCGTAACTTACAGGTGAGCAAGCTGTTACTAAACCAGAATGAATCTGTCCCCAGTGATCACAGGAGTCGTCCTACCTTTTGAGTACTTCCAGACAATGGTAGGAACAGGGTAACCCTCTGCAGAGCAGTTGAGAATTACAGCTTTTCCATAGATGCCATCCTGGTCACTGGGCTGAACCACAAACCTAGGGGGCACTGCAGGAGGAAGCAAAAGGAGCCATGAGAATTTCTGCAATTTACCAGGTAGCTCAAAATGGCAGACCACTCAAATGAGGAAGCACAACATTTCATAGCAGAAATAAAAAATTAAAACCACTTTTGTTTGACAATACAGTGACCTATTAAAGATGGTTTTACATGATTATTCACTTCCTGTGCACACTCTCAATGTTTTTCTTGCCAGGCACAACAAAAACACTGTTCTTGATAGAATACAAAAATAAGCTAATAAAAATCCCTCCATAAGGGAGGTTATAAAATGGAGTAACAGATAAATTAGACTGTCAAGGTCAGAAAAGAAATGCTTTCTAAGAAAGGGAGAGGTTTGACATGTGTCTAAGAACAACTGAAGTTTTCTGTGTTTGTTTTTTATAGTAGTGAATGAGCAAGCTTTAGAAAAATAATTAAATTATGCAGTAAAAATAACCTTAAAAAATAACAGCTTTTAATAGCAATCAAATAACATCATATTAAAATGAAGGTGTTAGAACCATAAATTCTGATACAACTTTTCTTTCCAAACATCCATAGAAAGTTTCAACACAATTTGCTTGCATTAAGTTGAAGAGGAGAAGTCTTATTGTAAATAGATGTATGCGCATCAATGTATACGTATTATTAGACTTTTACTCTAAGGCAGCACAAAACCACTGCAGTGAGTCTTCAAGACCTAAGCAGGTATGCATATACTTATACATAAATAAAATAAGAGCTGCTCATCTTAAGGAAAAGCTCTGCATGTTCCAAATACAGATACACAGCAAAGAAAACAACTTGTGACAATTCTAGACCTATAGTTTACCATGAAGGCATGATACTAAATGACAAAGTCTCAGTAAACCTGCAGATTCGACCAAAGTTAAAAAAAAAAAGCTGAAAACTGTGAAGAATGTTGAAAAACCAAGAAGTTGTTGAATATTAAAGGTTCTTAATGGTTGTATTAAACTCAGTTAAGGTCACAGATTTTTGTTGACCTGCTGTTCTCTGGCTCAGAACATGAAGAATTAAATACCTGAGAAAAAAGTAAATTATTTATGTCCTTATCCCACATGTTATTCTTTTTGTCATTTCTTACAGTGCTACAGAGAAAGTGTAGTAAGGTGACTGAGCCTGTGACAGATTTTTTTTTTCCTCTCAAAACAACTAGAGAAACATACTTAGATCTAATGCAGTAAAAGAGAAATCAGAATAGGTCCTTTCTTTCCTTGCCCAACCACACTGTATGCACACAGGGACCCGACACACAACCTTGTGGGTTCACAGCTCCACAGGTCCAGGCAGTGCTGACTTTGTCTGAAAGTTCGGGGAGAAAGAACAAAGGGCCCAACCATCCCTCCTCCTTCTGACCCAAATCCCCATCAAACCCCATGACCTGCCTCTCCAGGAGTGCCAGAAATTAAGAAAGCAAGAATGGGAGAGGGATGTAGCATGAGGAAAGATAAGGCAGCATAGAAGTAGATCATCAGAAGAGTGACTATTTACCCTAGGACCTTGACCTGGTTTCAGCTAGGACAGAGTTACCTTTCTGCATAGTAGCTAGTAAGAAGCTCTGTTTTGGATTTGTGCTGAGGAGAAGGCTGATAACATACTGATGTTTATAGTTGCTGCCAGGACAGTCAAGGACTTTTCAGCTTCTCTGCTTTGCTAGTGTGTGCAGGGGCAGGAGAAGCTGGGAGGAAGCACAGCCCCAATTAGTGGCTTAAAGATTTGACCTTAGGTTTAGGACTGAGACTCAAATTTACCAATGGTATATTCCATATCATGCACATCATGCCCCATATATTATGAGGAACTATCCGGAAGTTTGCTTTCTGGGTTGTCTCACTCTCTCTCTGGGTCCTCTCTCCCTCTGACTCGGGCTCTTCTCTCTTTTCTGGGGTTGCGGTTTCAGGACTTTATCTGCTCTGAGATCATTAGCTGGGAACAGGGTGGGCCTTGGTCATCGTGTGATGAGCAGTTGCACTGTGTATCACTCATCTGTATGTTTGTATATTTGCATATTATTATAATTACTGTTATTATCATTATTAGTTTCAGTTTTATTGTAGTTATTAAATCATTCATATCTCAACCCATGAGTCTCTTTTCCCTTTACCCCTTTAATTCTCTCCCTTATTCCTTGGGATGGGGGAGGGTGAGTGAGTGGGTACACGATATTTAAACCGCTAGCCATGTCAAACCATGACAGATCTGAGACAGCTCTTAATTACCATGAATACATTACTACTTATACATCAGAAAAACTGTGTGGCAGAAATGTGTATAAAGATGCTCCACTGCTCTTTGGAACATGGCTAGAAGAAACAGAAGGAACTAACAGCAAAAGAGGCTAGATAAACCTTTGGGCTAGGAGATATATTTACTGCTGTCAAACATTTCAGCTTTCCAAACAGCTGCCACAATGACAAGCATAAATCATATATTACGTTAATTCGTTATAGGTAACCATCAAATACGAAATCCTGGCAACAGAAGCTCTGGGCAACCAGCCATCCTGTTCTAATTATCTAGTCAGAGAAGATATTTGCTTCAGCAGTTCTTTTCTCACTATTCTGTGTTCATTTTCTCACCAAACACAAAAGGAGTCCAGAGTACTTATTTTCCAAATCAGGTGAAAAGTACAATTAGTTGCACAAATAGGTTTGATTTTATATGACTCAGCACGGTGGCATCAGCTTGTATCACTTCAGTAACTGTAAGTAAATTTGTATTCACAGCTTCTGAAAAATCAATTACAAGCTGCTTATCCATAAAGAGCATAGACCAAAAAAACCCATGAAAACACAGAAACACCTCAGTTGAATCAGACTTACAGGTGAATGATTACAAATAATGCAATGGAGTGACTGATAATTACTGTCCTCCTCTACTACTGAGAAATGTAAAGAGTATGTCTTTAAAAGCTCTCTTACAACACAGAACATTGCTAATTTTTTTTGTTTTATTTCCCCCTCTTTGAAAAACATTTTCTTTATATTTTTCATCTGCTATGGATGACACTGTCAAGAACTGTTAATTTTTCAGGAAATAATTTATTATATTAAATGAGTAGGGATATGCAGGAAGTTCTGGAAAATTTAAGCAAGATTGCCCAGTATGGAATAAAGGCAGTCAGCCTTTAAAATACTATTTGTATCAAAGTTATCTGTTAGAATAAAATTCTTCTCCAGTCCCTTTGGGCATACATAGAATAAAAGGATTCATGCCAATTGTAAAGGTTTTTTTGAGCATTTCTTTGGAAATGCATCCTCCACATCTTGTGTAGATATTCTTGATGTGTTTTGCCTTTAAGGCTGATAGGCTCTGATCAGGGCTTTTTATCATATTAATTTAATTGTATTTTGGGTATATATATAAAAACCATAGATTTATGCTCAGATATCCTTCATATTCTCAGTTTTAATCATTCCTTTTAATAAAGAATGATACCAGAATGGTAAATGTGGAAATTAAATTTTGACGTATAAGCTCCAGAACCAGGTGCATGGTTAGTAATCATACAGTTTCCTTGTGCTGCTCCATAAACAAAGTATATTTCAACCTTACTTGGCAAAAAATTTACCCGCACCCAGTAATAGAAACAATTTCTATATTCAGTAAAGCTTTGACCTTCCTTTAGGACTACTTATAAAAATGCCAACTGCTGCTCTGATTTTGAAGACATGAACCCTTGACACTTAGTCTTAAGATTGCCACTAGAAATCAGAAGAGATGCTACAGCAAAACAAAATTACTCATTCAACAAACTTTCAATTGTTTCTGTATTGTTATCTAGGTAAAACCACAGGATTTTTCTTCTTACCAAAATGGTTACAAAGTAAACAGAAGAGACCATTACATTTTTCTTCCTCATTGATACGTTGCTTCTCAATCTTATTTCAAATGAGTAACTTGTTCAGTGGTATGTGCTACCATATTTTGGAAGACAATGCAGTTAACTACGTGATATAGATTTTGATACTTAGCTTTACATTGCAAAGCTACATTCACTTTTTCATTATCTTTCAGGAATTCATTAGCCTTTAAATAAAATTTTCTTAGTAAGAATTTAACCAAATTAATTTGTCTGATATGCTTAAGTAGAGTTAATGTAGAAAAGAGAGGAAATAGTTCTCCTTCTCTCTCTCTAGTTGTAAATGTTTGGGCACCCTCTGCTCCCGCAGAAGTGAAACATACTGAAATAGCTCAAAAATGTAAGTGAATGGTTTTACTTTTATCATCACCCATGTTTCAGCAGCACAGTCTCTTGAGCCTATAAAGGAGGGCGTTTAAAATTTATTTAACAGTGAGTTTCTGTTAGGCTCTCTCACTTAATGCAGCCTACGGATCTGTGATGAAAAATGAGCTGTTGAATAGTTTAGTGTGAGAGCAATAAGTTGACAGGTGCAAAGTATTTAATGGCTGAACTCAAAGGACCTAAAAAAGGTGTTTTCAGTCAATATTATGACTAGCACCCTCAGGCTCTCACAAAGGGAAAACAAAGGATGAAAGGCATCAGAACAGGATGTTGAAGATAACATGAATGTCATAGTGCCATTTTAAGGGAAGGAAAATGCTTTTATTATCTCTTTGTGTGAAACAATCCTGATAAAATGATAAAATATGAGTTGGTACCCTAAGAAGATACTGCTTACCCATGTCACCACTGCTCGCAATGAGGGAGTTTACAAGCTACTAAATAAAATCAAATTATAAGTGTGTGCTAACATTCCCTGATTTAATTTTGCTTTATGTAAATCCAAGAATCCGTTTGGAATGTGCCTTATTCCAGGGACCAGATGACAAACTTGCACACTCCTTCCCGGACTTCAAATCTATGCAAGTCCTTCTGCCTCCCAGGTACAGCGATTAGTGCATCACACGGGAGAGTCATTCTGAAGGCTCCTAACATGAGCTCCTTTGGTGGGCTACTGGAGTGAATTAAGAAATAATCTATGACCCTGGCCCAGAATAGAATGTTTCATTTTTACATAGAA